CGAAGTTATGTTCGGCAAAATGTATGGCTAGTTTACATTGTTTGTTGTATTATGAAATATGATACTATACTTGTATTAAAATTCGCGTCTAACTAATGTTATTGTAAATGAGTGAGACTTGCCCCAAGTCGACCTCGAACGAAATGCAAACCTTCGAGGTCGACTTGTGGCAAGTCTAGCAAATGAGAACCATACAAATGATACAATAATGGTTCTAGTTCTTGTTGGTATTTTGAACGCACGCTTTATCTTTAGTATAGTTACCACAAAGCTTTTCGCGCGGATTATATTTCGTGGAGTACTAAATATTATATTTTGTGGTTTTCGAGTCATTACACAAAGAAAAACACATTAATTCAACACGCAAGAAAGTCCAGAGTACAACACAACGTAAAATAAATAGGAAACCGGCACAATTCTTTGAAAATTCAACGAAACTGTGTAAAATATAGGTTTATCACAGTGGCGTAGCCAGGCGAAAATTATTGGTCATGCTCCGAGCGACGAAGTAGCGAGGCTTTCTAGGGGGGTCTGGGTGCATGCCCCCCCAGAAAATTTTGAAAATTAGAACCCCGGAAATGCCATTTCCTGCGATTTGAGCATTGAATTCTAAGCTCCAATATGACCTCAAGAAGGGGCAAAACTTCGCAATTTTACTGTATTTTAGCCAAAAATGACAGTGGTAAACTAAGGATCCAAGGATAGTATACAGCAATTTGCGTCCAAGCACAAACCGCAAACATTTTCGCGCGTTTGTTTACGTTTGAAACGTGGCGTTTACCGTTGGAAACGGAAATGTTTCACTGCTCATGCGACGTGTTACAGTTCAAAGCCTAATTCAGTTATTTTTCATGTTTTGATGTGCTTTTGTGTACGTCTCCGTATTTCCAAGCTAACGATATTGTAAGAGCGACCAAACTTGTTTATATTCATACTTTTTGTGACTAGAACGTATTATCATGGGTTTGGAAATATTGAAACGTGCACGGAGGCACATCAAAATATGACAGTTGCGCCAAAAATAGCTTAAAGCTTTTCACTGACACGTCACATGAGCGGTGAATACATTTCAGTTTCCAACGGTAAACACACCGTTTCAAACGTTAAAAAAAACGCGCGAAAATGTTTGCGGTTTGTGCTTGGACGCAAATTGCTGTAAAGTTTCAAATTGAAAAATACGCTGCAAGAACTATATATTGTAGGCCGTCGCCCACAACCTAGACCAGTAGGTAGAAAAATTTTTTAATCTGGGAAGGCCGTAGTGGCCATTTCCTTCATTTTGAGGGTGGAATTCCTCAAGAACAAAACATGAAAAAGTGCTTTTCTAAGGAGAATATTTTACTTTTTTGTTTCGAAAAATGTCATTCGTGAAAATGTTGTCTGAGGGCAGAGTTTGCAGTATTTGCAAATAACTTTACATATTTTGAAATGTTGCTTTCAGGGGCATGATAATAAATTATTGTACTTGTGTGCTCACTGTGCTGACATAACTTAGCAGATTTTGCACAATTGCACTTCATCTTTTGTTTACAATATTGTAAAGAATGGCCATAAAAAAATTAAAAATGGCTGTTTCGCCCCATATCAGGGCTCATCAGCATGCCTAGGAAACACATATACCATATATAGTGGTAAGCTTGCGAATCCGACATGGACAGCCTTGTGAAAGGCCTAAAATGAGCAAACTGGTTTTAAGGCGCCAGTAACCCGCCTTTCACACCTTTTAAAAGGAGTTTGGTTAGAAAAGGGCAACTATTTGGGACATTTCATGGATATGCAATTGCTCACTTTTGCACATCATCCCAGTCAATTCTAACCCTTTACTCCCCACCCTCCCATCCCACCCAACTCTACACCTAAAACCTAATCTAACCTGACCTAATTTTGATTTTGTATATAAGAAATAAAAGCAGTCCAAATTTAAAGTAATAATAAAAGAGCACATTGGGGATAGAATATCTGAATATGTGCTTGATATAGTTGTAGAGGAATCCAAACATGACAGAATGTGCAGATCATAAAAGAGTCCACATATTGGAGGCAAAACTTATGCATGAGATATTTGAAATATCTTATTACTATAGTTATTACCAAATAACTGACCCACATCACATGGACGTCATGAAAGAACACACACTGGAAATAAACCTTGATGTAAGAAATATTTTTAAAAGGGATTCACTGACACTAGCCACCTGGCAGATCATAAAAGAACACACGCTGGTGACAAAACTTATGTATGAAATTGTTGAAATAAACAGAAATATAATATTAGTAAAGATGTTGACAGAAACTGGCCCACATGGAGATCATAAAAGAACACACACTAGAGACAAACCTTTTCCATATTAGAGAGGTGTCTGAAAGGAAAGTTGGACAATATAATATAACCTGATCGTGATTGAATGCATAGATACCACATAACTGAAGGGCCTTCGCTCGAAATGCCAAAGTTCTGCTTACACTTTTCAAGTAGTTTGTATCCTTCACACAATGTCTTCAATCAAATTTGGATGTAGTATTTTTCAATTTAGGTAAATACAATATTTACCTAAATTGAAAATTAAGACGTCTTGGCTTTTCAATAAACTTCTCCAAGACCAACTTGTGGAGCTGCTTCTGATCTTCTTTCTCCTTAAGTATGTCCTTATGGATAGATATCCTGCATAATGAGCCAAGTCGTCCATCACTCATTGTGCTGCGAAGATAGGACTTTACTCTACCCAAACATGAAAAGGATCTTTCAGCAGATGCACTCGATACTGCAATTACAGCATTTAATTTTAGTAACTTGACAAATTCTGGAATACATCCCTGAATATTCATCTGGTAAATATATTGTAAAAGTTCCATTGGATTATCCTTTAAAAAATCTTGATCTTTGTAAATAAACATCAGTTGGCTTTCGAGACTAGAAATATCAAAGAGTGGCCCATATTTCTCTCTCAACAGCTGCAACTTGTCAGCTGGGACACCACTTTGCCATTTAGTAAAAATTTTGGGGTTCACCAAATCGAGAAACGAGAAGCTGTCAACATCTTGAAACCGATTATTGACCATACCAACAATGGTGTCAATCACTTCACAGTAAAGCTGCTTATAATTAATAATTTGCTCTGATCTTCTGGATGGGACACCAGCTCGATTCTCAGCAGCCGCATAGCAGGTTTCAAAGGCAGTATCATTGCGAAGATCATTTTTGAGAAAATCTACAAAATTTTGGATTTTTTTAACACCATCAGAGAAATCAGTGGCCCTATTTTGCAGAACATTGTATAAGATTGAGGACTGTTCCAAAATTTTGTAGTAAAGCTCTAATAAAAAGCAAAATAGGAAGGACTCAAGATTTTGGAGCAGACCATCTGCCCGGTCAACTGTGTCTTCTCTCCACATTCGAGGTGCATCTTTAATTTCAGTTAAAGCTCTCTCTAAGGCTTCATACCCCTTAAAGATAGCAGAGACAGTACGGGACTTATAATACCACCTAGTTTCACCTGGATTTGGGATATCAACACTATGGGAATTTAGATGTGCCTTTCTATCAGAGCTGGGCTTACTAAAGGTACAAAAAGCAGATATCTTGGAGAAAAAGAGCTTCACCTCGTTGATATTCAATGCAGATTGACACAGAACTAAGTTTAAGCGATGGGCGGCACAGTGAAAGAAAAATGCAAATGGGTAATCTTGCCGCATGAGGGTCTGGACGCCATTGAGATGACCACTCATAACAGCTGCACCATCATAAGTTTGCATAATCAGTTTAGCTTTAACTGACTCACCATATCTGCTAAGCACCCCTTTAACAACATCACATATCGCTCGGGCAGTGCGATCTGTGCTGACATTCCTAAACTTTAGAAATCTTTCCACTACTTCACCCCCCCTATCTAAACGAACAATGACGCTAAGTTGCTCTTTAGTAGACACATCCAGCGTTTCATCACATTGGATACTAAAGAACTGACAGTCCCTTATTTCCTTATCAATTTGATCCTCAATCACAGCATCTATGCATTCAATCAAATCATTTTGGACATCTGGTGACATACCGGTAAAAATCCCCCCAGAATCAGGCCTTTCTGAATCCTGTAGCCTGCCATGCAAACGACGGTCGAACACAGAATCTAATTTACCAAATGACTTTAAAAGCTGTCTATAATTACCCTGATTCAGACTTGTGCTGGATTCATCATGGCCTCTAAATGCTAGCTCTTGCTTAGCCAAATACAGCACAGCTTCACTAATATTATTTAGCATTTCCCGGTTTTGCCTCACACCCTCATTATATCTCTCAACAGCCTCCCTCCTAGCCCTCGAAAACAAAACATCTACACTCTCATGGTCAACCCTATCAAAGGTTTTCCACATTTTGTACGCGTCCATGTGGGAGTTAGTTCTCTCATGCTTAGGGCAGTCACTCAAAAGATTATGCATGTTAACATACCCTGTGTGCGTCCAAGTTGTTGATTTGGGGCGAAATAAAAGGCATGGCCAGCAAAATAACGATTTTTTCGTCTCACTGGCACACAACCAATCTTTCCTCATATACCACGACTCTTGGAAGCTTCGACCTCTTGTTTTTATCAATAGCTTTGGCATAGGTCGTTGCATTCGAACAATTTCCTTCTGTTCAATGGCATTTCGTGAGCTAAAAGGCCTTTGTAAAAGCTCAGAGATGATATCTCTGGTACTACGGCCTTCTGATGTTATGCTCGGTTGAGTCTGATCGATTTCCATATTCATAACTTGAATAAATTTCGCCAAAATTGCTGAATAATTCAACAGTATTTAATTTGGTCGTGCTATCAAAGCTAAGCACGACAAGAAGAAAAAAATTCGCGTGCTACGCATGCGTGAGAGGCAATTCAACCAATAGAATGCGTTGGAATTTATAATTTAGTCGTGCTCGCCTGACGAGAGCACGACTAACGGGCGGGTTACCCGTTAGTCGTGCTATTAAACCCGCGGTTGGGTGATACTACGTAATTATATAGTATACTCGAATTGGCTCGAATTAGCTTAAAATCAGGGCAAAATCGCCGGATTTGAAAGGATTTCGCACTTATAAAAGATGTCGCAAGTGTTGATTTTTAAATTTTACCAATATTTTTTATGACCAAAAAAATTATTTTCTTTGAAATTTTTTTAGTCGTGCCCAGCACGACCAGCACGACCTCTAGCTACGCCACTGACTTGATAGCGCATCTCTTTTAGTAAAATTGAAGCCAAGAATATTCCAGCGGTTACCCACATTTGAATAGATGGCGGCCATGTTGAAGTTTCCCACTCGCTAATAAACGCTTAAAAAACAACGGAAACAATAGAAAATATACGAGTCTTCTCATTTCATGGGAATATCCTGAATATCTGCAATCACGGCTTCAATTTTTGAATTGCAGAATAATTAGATGCACTATCTAGTGTATATAAGATATCTATGGGCTTAACTCGAACTTTCCAAGTTGTGTTTCTTTCTTCGAGTTAAGCCCTTGACGAAAATGGGTGTTGTTTGGGCGTGGTCGGGGCTTAACTCGAAAATGGCGTAACTCGAAAGGCATAACTCGGAGGGCTTAACTCGAGATATGAGGTGCATTTCATGTCGTTTGCAGCTATCGTCGCTTCCAGAAATGGGACAGAGGGCTCGAATTACCATATCTGAAACACTGTGTTTGCCATTATTAAAATGTTTGGCAACAGGTTGGTTAGCATTATTGCCAATAACTGCACGCCGATACTCACCAAACCTTGTCCTTAAACATCTTCCAGTTTCCCCAATGTAAAGCATGCCACATCTGCTGCAGGAGATTCAGTAGATGAGATGGGAGGAGGCGCACGTGAAATGGTGCTTGATGTGAAATTCACATTTAGGTGCCGAAACAATAGTGGTAGAATCTACAAAATCACAGGTTTTACATTTCGACGACAGGCAAGGAAAAGTGCCTTTTTGTGACGTCGAAGCCTGTGCTAGGGAGCTATGGACAAGGGTTTCTCGGATATTTTTGCTGTGTCGAAAAGAGACAAAGGGGTTATCGGAGAAAATGGAAGATGTTTCAGGGTCGTTTTTCAAAATATGGAAATTCTTGTTGATGACATCTCTAACTTTGAAATTGAAAGGATGATTGTTTAATACTAGGGGGATATTGTTGTTGCCTGTGACATTAGACACAGGGTCTGTGAGGGTGTCAGAACGGGTAATTTGGGAGGCCTTCGAAAGGGCAGTGTCTAATAGAGAGGTAGGATAACCACGTTGGACAAAAAAGTGTCTCATCTCCAGACTTTTGGCCTGAAAATCTTCGTCTTCACTGCAGATGCGGCGAAGACGAAGGAACTGAGAGAAGGGAATCGACCTTTTGGTGTGGTTGGGGTGGGAAGAGGAAGATAGAAGATAGCTATGTGAGTCAGTGGGCTTGTAGAACACAGAAGTAGATAGTTTGTTACCATTGATTGATACAAGGATATCTAAGAATGATACACTGGTCTCACTGATCTCCCGTGTGAACTGTAGTGCTGGATGAAAATTATTAACAAAGTTAATAAAGCGTTCCAATTCGACACGAGAACATGATGCTGTGCCAAGACAGTCATCTATGTACCTACCAAGGTAATCAGGGATGGGATCAGTGTACTGTTCAAAGATTTGTTTTTCCACAAAACCAACAAACAAATTAGCATAGTTGGGTCCCATTTTAGTTCCCATGGCTACACCGTTTATCTGTTGGTAATGCTCACCATCAAAGGAAAAATTGTTGAGAGTAAGCACCAACTCAGCCAATCAGACCAAAACAGAAGTGGCCGGTTCCTGGTTAGGGCGTTTATCTAGAAAGAATTTGAGGGCCCTTATTGTTCTCTTACCATGTTTCTATATGGTATCCGGTTATGGATTTGGCCAGAGCCCCTCGTCGCTCTCGGTCGAACGCGCGTAAGAAGGGCTCTGGGTACAAGAATGGGTCTGAATACGTTAGCCTAATCCAGTTCCATACCCTCTTCTGACAGCACGGCGAGCGGAATCCAATAATTGTTTTATTATAAATAAAAGTATATAAAGATAAGTATATAAAGTCTATAAAGCTGAGACTTGCGACGGTTAGAAAAATGCAAAAAACCCAATTTAATAAAATAACTAAATACATGTTATGAAGATAGTTTTGTATTAAAACTACTACAGGGCTATTAAACTGTCTGAAACAATCTAAAACTAACTTATATATATAATACAGTTTTTCAGAAATGGGAAATTTACGATTTGCGTCCGATATTTTGCCTTTTTGGACACTAAATACTTGTTGGAAAACAAAGCGTGTCCAAGTTTAACAAAGTAACATTGGAAGAGTTCGAATTTTGGAACAAAGTTTATAAAACTCACGTAACTGCCGTTGCCATGGAGACGATGACGTTTCGATATAGCGGATATTTCGTCTTTAAAGTAACTTTACTCTTAAACGAGTTTGTGGTGACCCCAATTTTTTATTTCATAAAATGATTTATTATAAAAATTTGACTTTATTTGACGACTTTAAAAAATCTCAAAAGACTCAAATTTTTCTAAATTCACTAAATATGAATAATCGTAATAATATTTTTTGAGTGGACAAAAGTTTTTTTAAATCGTTAAATAAATTCAAAATTTTAATAGCTTTTGCATGCGAGTTGGTTTTTGCGATGAGTGCAAAAGAGCCTTTATTCGTACGATCGAAAATATACGACAAGTTTTCTTTACTACCTAACAATATATTTGAAGGAGTTTGCCGTTCAATACCTCTTAAAGCTTGCAAACCTCCCAAGGAACTAGGCGAAAACGGCTGGTTGGGTTTGTACACTTTTGAGAGTAGTTCCGGGAAATTTAATATTATTTATTGCATAATAAGATGTGCCAAAAATCGCTTGGGAATTAGACTGTTCTTACGAATACGGTATAGGTTCAACAAAATTGATAAATGCTTATATTCGAGAAATTGAACAACATATTACAACAACTGGCAACGAAAAAGTCTTATTATTATATATTTTTCATCACTGTAGACTTAATATGGTTGAAACCAGAGGCAAAGATGGTCGAACTGTTGCCATTATCTTAACGCCAGAAATAACAAATGGGATCAACCTTCTAAATTCTTTGCGATCCACGGTTGGAATCCATGAAGAGAACCCATATGCCTTCGCACGGGTAAACCGAGACTCCCTCGAACATCTGAGAGGTTGGGACTGTCTGAGATACTGTGCTACAAAATGCAGTCCCAAACTGCAGAATCCAGACGCCATTATACCAGTACCAGAATGCGAAAATATATCGCAACCATTACGCAGGTTCTGTCCCTGGAGGAAAAAGAATTAGACTGGCTGGCACGATACCTGGGGCATGATATCCGAACACATCGGGAATACTATCGGTTCCACGAGTCAACGATCGAGATTGCTAAAATCAGCAAGCTTCTGTTAGCTGTGGATTGCGGAAAGGCTGGTTCGTTGAATGGCAAGTACCATAGACGAAATAACAAGGTGATAGGTGAGTTATGACTGAATGCATACATCCATATAAACTTTTAGTTCAGTACGTTTAGTTCAAGACTTTGTCTCACCATATGAGCTGGGTATTTTACTAGTATAATTGTTAATTCAATTTAGCAAAGATAAAAATAAAAAAAAACTAACCAGGTGCAACAAGAATAACAATTTTAAACTCCAGCTCACAAACTCCAGCTCACAAAGATCCTTACAATTCTTTGGTAGTCCATGACCGTGCATGGGTCGATCCGTTTGGTATTTCATGGCATGCAAGCAATTGGATATTATTGCTGTTCTTGAGCGCCGAGAACAATACCTCTCCACTATCACAGTTCTGAGAAAGTAAAGAAGAGCAGTATCTGCTCCGAAACTACCTATCAAATATAATATAGGGAATGTTTAAGTACTAAATATGTAAATTGCAAATATATAGATGATGAGCATATAGCACTTACAACCATGCCTGACAAGGTGACCATAGCAATCACAAAATGTTATAAAGAACTCGGATATAATAATCTCATGATAACTAAAATAGTTCTATATGATTCTGTAGACTGTACATTCGTCACTATCAGTTTCTTTGTAGCCATTATCAGCTCCCTCATAGTGAGTGAGACCTGGTTCTTTAAATTAACATTATTCTGCAGTGTATAAACATTATTCATGTATGATTTATTCATATGTCATCTATAACTCAATTCCATTTTAGTAAATGACATACCTTTTTGTAAAGATCAGGCTGTTTTGCAGAAAGATTAGGCTGACTCCTTCAAAGAAGTCACCAGTGAAAAAACATAAATGGACCATTGAGGAAAATAAAGCTTTGATCTAGATATGGAAAAATATTGTCCGTAATAAAATATAATAACAATTTACAATTATATCCTAGTAATCTATGTCACTGTTATAATCGTAGGGATCCATAATAAAATAAAATAACAGCAATTTACAATATACTTCTTGTGTGTGTGTTGGTGTTATGTACTCAGGTGAATATGATGTTTGTGATGTTACTCTGAGTGTGCATCCACACCGAGCCCAGCTCAGTTGGTAGAGCATTGGACTAATATCCCAAAGATCGCAGGTTTGATTCCCACCGTGGTCAGGCAAACTTTTCAGATTGCCCGATCTGCATGCACACTCATAATAACATCACAAACATCAATTTACAATGTAGGGATCCATAATAAAATAAATATGTTGGGATCCATAATAAAATAAAATAATTTACAATATTCTAGTAATCTATGTCACTGTTATAATTGTTTCTTGGATCATCTCTGTCCCATGGTCCACTTTTCACAATCCACAATGCTGTACTGTAGACTAATATCCAGCAAGCACACCGAATTTATTGGTTGTAGATCACAGTTACATCCAGTTTGCCCTTGTAAATTTATTGGTGTCAGCACACTGTCCAAGTCTTCATTAACAGTATCTGGATCTCGAGGTTGAATTGTTTGAGAAGGTGGGATGGCAGAATATCGAAATCCCACAAAATAACATTTTCAAAGATAAGAGATTGTCCTGTTCCATCTTGCCCGAGATCACTGAGGTCAGAGAACTGCAAAATATGAAAACAATATTCAGTTTAACAAAGTGCAATATTAAAGCAAGGCGCATTCGGGGACAGTGCGACTCAATGGGTTAACTAAACACATGGGCAGATAGGCCAGCTGCCATTAGACAGAGTAAAGCAATCTGGCATGAGACAGAGTTAAAAAATAAAGTAATTAATGTGATTCATGCAATTCAATGGATAATAAAATAAATTACTTTAATAGTAATAAAATACCAAAGTAATCAAACCTCTATGATCAAACCAAATGAACAGTTTAAGCTTCTCTAACTTAAACTATTTTAGCTCTATGTGCATATATTAAAAATGGAAAGCACATATATTGTTACCAACATTTGCCATTGGCTATAAAAATCTGAATCATAGAAAAAGCATTGTGTAGATACATTGCCTTTGTATTCGCTTTAACGATTAAAGCAAACGACGTACCCTAAAAGCACAACTGGGATGTATCTCTATCAATGCTGGGCTATTGCAATCGGCGAATATTTCATCAACTTTTAGAGACAAATAGACAATTAAAATAGCGATTCTTCTGATATGCAAACTATCCAAAAAAACTGATGTGAATCTCACGGCATTCAAAACTGAACACACGATAACCCATAGGAACCAACAACGTAGGCTCTGACGATACACAATGAACAAAAAGAAGATTGTGTCCTTCCAAAACTGAAGCTTTATGGCGGTGGTCGGCTTTACAAAATCCGCCATATTTCTCACTCTTGTTGTTTTGATAGTGAAGGTCAGGCGAACAATAAGCGCCCGCTCGTGGAAAATCAATAATATATAATTTATTGGAATAATCGCTATGCATCACGGTATAGTGACCACTCCTCTGTTTACAATCTATAGCAGGATGATACCCAGTGTATATACGATTTGGAGAAAGATATCATCTCCGTATTGCTGTAACACAACAGCTTGGAATCACTCTCCTGTTTCCACTTCCTAACCTTCCATGTTGCCAGAGTACATATTAGATAGCTTAAGATCTACGACGTCGACGTCAGCTAGGACGTCAGGGCTAAGCAGAGGACTGGGACTAGGACGATTTATTTAGAAATAAATAAACTTCTACTTAAGATTCACGACGTAGACATTTAAACTATAAATATTTACATCCTTTTGAAAATGAATTTAAACGAGATGTGCGAACTTTTACCGTTTGTTATGCTCTTGTATCCACGACGGTAAACCTCTTGTTGTGAGGTTGTCGACGTTTGGTGGACGACGAGCAAATTGAGAGACACATGCACACTTCAAAACCTATTACCAATTTACTTCCGCTTGCCGCCCTAAATAGACTGAATATTTGACGTCGTAGATATTGAGCTATCTATACTTATTTAGGACGACGTCCTAGTCTCAGTCCTCTGCTTAGCCCTGACGTCCTAGCTGACGTCGATGTCGTAGATCTTAGGCTATCTATTGTGTGTAAGCAGCATTGCGAAAATTTTCATTGTTTCTAACATTATTTAACACGAAAAAGTCTTTCCTGTAACGCATGGCCAGGTCCAGATCGAACATTTTATTATTTGATGTTTATTGAAACTCTCTTGCAGTATATTTACGCTGAATTAACGAGACCAAAGTATTACTAAAACTATATTTACATGAATACATACAATTGTTAAAACTATGTATAAACATTAAAAATATTTAAAGATAAAAAATTGTTCAGATCTTAAAGTTCTGCATTTGGTTGTGTTCTTAAATAAAATAGTATTGTCTTGCCCATTTCGTAGGCTATATTTTTTACATAACAGTTCGCGTCTGCTCTCCAATGTTGGTATCTGTGCCATCATCATCGCCTCATTATAATTGTCTATGGAAGGGAAGATGATTCGAAGTGCCCTTGTCTGTATTGATTCTATCCTTTCACTTAAGTAGTCAGGGATCGCTTGCCATATTGGAACAGCATATTCCAATACGGGTCTGATAGTTAGATACACTTTCAGTATATTCCTTTGCTCAACGCCAGCTCAACGAAGTACGCGGAGGGAATATATCTTTTTACAAGCTTTTTTTTAGATATAATCAACATGTTTATTTCACTTGAGATCCTCACTCAATTGAACTCCAAGTAATTTATAATTGGTTACCCTTTCAACTACGTTGCTGCCTATTACAAAAGGCCTCATTATGGAGTTGTTATTATTCATAAAATTAATTACCATCTCCTTGCATTTAAGTGGGTTGAGACTCATGTTATGATTTACAGAGAATTGATGTAATTCATCTACCGCATGGTTCAGAAAACTAGTTGAGTTCCTGGGAATGATAGCGCAGCTGTGTCATCGACAAACTTTGTCCTTAAATGCCAGTCAGATATTAGCTTATTTGTCATAACCGAGAAAAGAATAACACCAAGTTTAGTTCCCTGAGGTATACCACCATTTGGGGATTTCCAGTCTGACAAAGTCCCCCTATTCTGACAGCTTGTTTTCTATTTGAAAGAAAAGCGTTAATCCAATTATATAAGACAGGATGAATATACAATTCCATCAGCCCCTTCATGAGAATATGGTGGTCAATACGGTCGAATCCTTTGCGAAAGTCGGCAAAAAAAGAAACGAGCACAAGCATTTCCGCTATCGAGGGTCTCGTAGACGGGTTGAAGCAAAAATAGTAGTGCATCCGTAGTGGAGTGACCCTAACGAGCAACCTGACGGGGGTCAATTTTTCGTGTCAGCTGTGATAGAAGTCTCCTACAGAAAAATCCCTCTATAATTTTAGCCAAATTGCATGTTAGGGATATTGGACGTAAGTCGTTTTCAATTGATTGTAGTGGGGTTACTTTCGGTATGGGAGATATAATTGAGGATTTAAGTAAATCTGGGATATTTGCTTCCTTAATGGACTGATTCAAAATATCCTGAATGACCGGAGAAAGCTCCGTAGCAAATTCCTTTAATACTTTATTTGGGAGTTCGTCTGGTCCAACAGATTTGGCTACTTGTAGAGATGACAATGATCGATAAACCTCTGCTTCGGAAACAAGGAACTTATTTGGGACATGCTGAGTTGGACAAAGAGGCGATAACGGTGAAAAGTTCTCAGTTATGCTCAAGAAGAAGTCATTGACTCTATCTGCGACTATCTTAACATTCCCATTGTCTCCAAGAAATTGATAATGCCACTCCTATTGAATTTCTTGTCCCATAAGCAGTGGCGTCGCATTTTGCCCCTCCCCCCATTTTGCCCTCCCGCCCTCAAAAAAAATTATTAGTCACTAAGAGCGACTAAAGGCTACACAAGTGTTCTGTCGTTATCGGAAAATGTATGGCTTATAAGTTGTCATTACTCATTAGTGAATGCGCGTATACATGAAACTGTTTTGTACAGTTTCAATATTAGTTTGTAAATCCCTGAATAGTAAAACTTGCCAATACTCCAATAATACGTTTCAAAAAAAGACAAAAAAGCTTTACTTTTGCAGAGTTAAATTCTCAGACGTGTAAGGCAATAATAAGATGAAAGTATCACGAAATTATTTGAATAAACCACATCGCATATATGGGGGGCGAATGTCCTGAAGAGGGTCGATATTCCTAGGGTATTCGCCCCACCCCCTGTGAGGCGATATTCCTAGGATATTCGCCACGTTTTGAGGGGGGGGGCCGAATTTTCTGGGAGGGCGACCTTTTTAAAAATTCTATCTTGCCCCCCCCCCAAATTTGAGTTTGCCCGTCAAATGCCCCCCCCCTCCCCCCCAAAAAAAAATTTGGAAGCCTGGCGCTGCAACTGCCCATAAGACTTTTCATTTGTTTCCACCGTTTCCAGGATTTAGTCTGTCCCAGTTCTGCAACTTTATGCTTATAATAATGTGACTTGGCCGCTTTAATTTCTCTTTGAATTTTATTCCTCCAGTGTTTATATAGTACTAACTGTGTTAAGAGAGGGCTAGGGTAATGCAAGGCTGTCTTGTTTGTGTACAGCATTTGTTTTCTATTTGTAAGACCAATGGAGTAAAAAATAGTTTTGTATATAGTAACAGTAAGCAGTCTAAGTAATTTGCTTATGATCTAGATCTTATGATCTAATTTTTATCTTCCTAACATTGGCGGGCGTAGTAAATAAATTACATTTTTTGACAATTGATAGAAGATAATTATTCTATTATACAATGGATGTAAAGTTCTACACAATTCATTTAGTTGTTTTTCTTAATTTCCAGTGCTCGTTGGTAATAATCCTTTGCCTGGGCAAGGTCTCCTTTACCATCATACACTGTACCAATATTGTTATAAGAAACAGCAACATCAACGTGGTTTGGACCTAGTTGTTTTACATGAATTTCCAGTGCTCGTTGATAATAAACCTTAGCCTTGTCGAGGTCACCTTTACGACCATACACGGTACCAATATTGTTATAAGAATGCGCAACATCAACGTGGTTTGGTCCTAGTTGTTTTTCTTGAATTTCCAGTGCTCGTTGGTAATAATCCATAGCCTTGTCCAGGTCACCTTGACGACCGTACACTCCACCAATATTGTTATAAGAACGTGCAACATCAACGTGGTTTGCACCTAGTTGTTTTTCTTGAATTTGCAGTGTTCGATGGTAATAATATTTAGCCTGTTCGAGGTCACCTTTACGACCATGCACTGTGCCAATATTGTTATAAGAACGTGCAACATCAAGGTGGTTTGGACCTAGTTGTTTCTCTTTAATTTCCAGTGCTCGTTGGTAATAATCTTTAGCCTGGTCTAGGTCACCTTTACGACCGTACACTGCACCAATATTGTTATAAGAACGTGCAACAGCAACGTGGTTTGGACCTAGTTGGTTTTCTTGAATTTCCAGTGCTCGTTGGTAATAGTCCTTAGCCTGGGCGAGGTCACCTTTATCATCATGCAATATCCCAATTTTGTAGTAAGATGCTGCAACATCAACGTGGTTTAAACCTAGTTGTTTCTTTTTAATTTCCAGTGCTCGTTCGTAATAATGCTTAGCGTTGTCCAGGTTACCTTTCTGATGATACACTGTGCCAATATTGTCCAACGAATGTGCAACATCAGCGTGGTTTGCACCTAGTTGTTTTTTCTTGAATTTGCAGTGCTCGTTGGTGATAATCATTGGCCTGGTCCAGATCACCTTTATCACAATACATTATACCAATATTGTTATAAGAAGTTGCAACATCAACATGGTGTCGACCTAGTTGTTTCTCTTGAATTTCCAGTGCTTGTTGGTAATAATTCTCAGCCATGCCCAGGTCACCTTTACGACTATAAACTGTACCAATATTGTTATAAGAGTGTGCAACATCAACATGTGTTCGACCGAGTTGTTTTTCCTGAATTTCCAGTGTTCGTTGGTAATAATACTTGGCCTTGTCTAGGTCCCCTGTACGACCATACACTCCACCAATATTGTTACAAGAGCGTGCAACATCAATGAAGTTTGGTCTTAGTTGTTTTTCTTGAATTTGCAGTGCTCGTTGGTAATAATCTTTATGTACTGTACCAATATTGCTATAAGAACGTGCAACATCAACGTGGTTTGGGCCTAATTGTATTTCTTGAATTTGCAGTGCTCGCTGGTAATAATCTTTAGCTTCGGCAAGGTCACCTTTGCCATCATACATCATCCCAATATTGTAATAAGAAGCTGCAACATCAATGTGGTGTGGACCTAGTTGTTTCTCTTTAATTTCCACTGCTCGTTGGTAATAATCCTTGGCATTGTCCAGATCACCTTTATGATGATGCACTGTACCAATATTGTTATAAGAACGTGCAACATCAGCGTGATTTGGCCTTAGCTGTTTTTCTTGAATTTCCAGAGCTTGTTGGTAATAACCCTTAGCCTTGTCCAGCTCACCTTTACCATTATACACTGTACCAATATTGTTATAAGAAACAGCAACATCAACATGATTTGGACCTAGTTCTTTTTCTCGAATTTCCAGTGCTCGTTGGTGATAATCGTTGGCCTGGTCTAGATCACCTTTTTCACGATATATTATACCAATATTATTATAAGAAGTCGCAACATCAACCTGGTTTGGACCTAGTTGTTTTTCTTGAATTTTCAGTGCTCGTTGATAATAATCCTTAGCCTTCTCCAGGTCACCTTTACGTCGGTACACTGTACCAATATTGTTATAAGAAACTGCAAGATCAACGTGGATTGGACCTAGTTGTTTTTCTTTAATTTCCAGTGCTCGTTGGTAATAATCTTTTGCTTGGTCCAGGTCACCTTTTTCATCATACACTGTACCAATATTGTTGTAAGAATCTGCAACATTAACGTGGTGTGGTCCTAGGAGTTTCTCTCTAATTTCCAGCGCTCGTTGGTAATAATCCTTAGCCTGATCGAATTTGCCCATTTTTGTGTACGATTCGCCAAGGTCGTTAAATGTACGAGACCTGTAATGGTGCTTTTCTGAATCCCTCCATATCAGAAGATTTGTATTATGAAATTCGACCGCGATTTGATACTCGCAGTAGTCATATAAAGTTCTCCCAAAAAGCCGATATATGGCATAAATTTCAAGTTTTTCAAAGCCTAAACTAACTGAATATAGCGAGTCTTGTTCGGGAAATAGTTTTTTAACTGCTGTATTGAATGCTTTCAAATGTGGAATCATTTTAATTTTATCATTCCTGTCTTTAAAAAGATGAAATGCTCTTACAACATTTTGAACTCTACTGGCAACGTCAACCTTTGCTCTTTTATTGGCAATGCAATTTGGAGAATAGTGTTTATTTTCCGTCTCTTTGCAATTGCTAAACAATTTAATTGCTTCATGGACAACGCGATGTAGCCGCACATAGCAATCTTCATTCTCGGTAAGAAGAAGCGAACACTCTTTCAATGCCAAACAAATTTCCTCTTTTTCGCTATCTTGATCAATTAGCTGAATGTATTTAACAATAATATCAACTGGTAACAGTTCAAAAGAGATCAGAGAAAAAAGAATGAAAGTGTGATTCAAAATGAAACTATTTTCTGCAGAATTTTCAACAGCTAGGGACACCGCCGCCGACATGGTGGATGGGTAGGCTGAACTGATTCTGTGAAGCTGTTCTTCCGTGGCTTTTCTTTTGCATTTTAATTTGTTCAAGTAATCTTGCCACGAAAAATTTGGAGAACAATTTGTCTCAATAACTTTTTTCATGTATAGACCTGCCGCAGCCATAGCCAAAGTTTGGCTGTCTAACTTCTCAGCAACTTCATCTAACAATTGATCATTAGCATTAGTTCCTGATAATGAAGAAAGTAACTGACGACATTCTTGTACCTGCATACCATGACTGAGTGAAATATGTTTAGTAAATAAACTGTCGGAAGGGACTGCAGTTGTATTCTGAATTGTTAATATAATTTGACCATTATTCCACACTTCGTCCCCTATTTGAGGTAGTAGAAGTGAAATTTTCTCGAGATTTTCCACATTGTCCACTATGATCCACCACCTTTTCCAGTTCTTGATCCTGCTTTCAATCAGTGACCTTAAATCTTTGATCTTCTCATCTTTTGGTTTGCACGAATTGAGTACATTTATCAATGAATTGTGACAACAATTTAGACGTCGACAGAAATCTTCATACGAACAAAAAATAGTATCTAAATCTTTTGCGTTCAATGTCATCATAAATGTTGCCTCTGTTTCCGAAATCACGCGTTTGAACAAATCCTCGCAGAGTTGCCGGGATAGCTGCGATTTCCCACTTTCGGGATTTCCGGAAATATAGAAATATGTAAGTTTGCTTCCGCTATTAATGTGCAGTGTCTGGAGTTCTTGTTTTATGTCGTTGACCTTCTCAGAACGATAAACCACTTCGTGGGTTGGTTTTGAAGGTAAAACTTGAAATGATTTGTAAAGATTTCTCTTAATTTCTATTTGCAATATATCGTTAACTGGAAGACCAAGGGCTATAAATGCTTTTTTAACTTCAATGCTCATGGTTTGGAAGTCAGAATCAGATAGGGTTGTTTTGTCAGCATGCATAATTTTATTTCGAACATTTCGAATATTGCCCACTTCAGCTTTAATTGTTGGATTCAGTCTTGATTTACCGATCGAGTTTGAGTACAGAATTGCGTCAAAAAGAACAGAACAATCCCATTGATTTGTATCTCCATGTTGAAATTTCGCCTGGTACACGTTCTTGTTTGGTCTTTTCCGTGTATTTTCCCGATGAAACAACTGCAGACCACTTACACTGGTGTCATCCCACGCTCCGAAGCTTGCTTGGTAACGAGTGTTCCATTCGTCTTTAAAAACTTCCCGCAACCCTTCACTGACAACATCGGTGATAATATTCTGCATGCAAATGTAGTTTCGTTTCTCATCGCTTTCCCATGGTACATCTGGCATATTTGCGGCTAAAATTTGAAAAAGAAATAAGATAACGACTATTGTCTAACGGAATATAAATCTATTCTTTTCATTAAACGTTAATTAAGAAGGATTTATATAACTGATATGCTTAAATCCAAAGGCAAATATTTTAATGGAACTAACGTGAAGAGTGAAGAGTATATCACATGCACACATAGGGTGCAGTTGTCAGAGCAACCGTTTTTCTACTCTGAGATTGTGGATTCGATCCTCACATCGCCCATAATCACACTTATGTGAAAAGGGTTATTCAACTCTCTACAGAACGTCCTGCGCTTTCTCCAGGCACTCCGGTTTCCTTCCACAGGGAATGTTGACAGGGCGGGTTGGGATTAGCCCCCCTAACCAACCCTTCGGCCATAGCTGTGTTCCGTGATCAGACATGGGTCCAACCTCGTTCCCAGGGCTTTCGTATGAGGGGAGAGACGAGAAAGCCCTGGTCTGGGCCGGTCACGTGACTACCCAAAAATGGCAGTAATTGACAGCTACTCATCAAGGAGTGGCGAGATATTCTTTAATGAAATATACAAGTCTTCGAAACAAATAAACAGCCAAAAGACTTCTCAATCGATATTATTTATGTGTAGAGCGAAGTTTGGCACGATCAGCTGAAATCTCTGAAGACCCCGTCTATGTTTTCTAAGATATACCGATATTTCTGGAGATTTTCACCACAGGCAAAGCTGCATCCAAGCTGCATCTCTTGGCTGCATCTAGGCGTCTCCATGCAAGTGGTGATTCACACGAAATTTGCTTTCTCTCGTCTTGAACAATATGGCTATTGCCTTTAATATTTACTAAATATGCTCTTATAGATTCGATAAATAAACAAATATAAAACCTCGCGTAACCTGTTTACGCTGCACAGGAATATACGGATTCGCTTGTTTCGCCGGACACCAACACTTGCCGTTCAGGAGCAATGCTTGCCTACAAATTTTACCCCCTTCACAATCTTTGTTTTATTTTATCGTATAATCGCCATTTTCAAGTATTCGGGGTATTCTAAAACTGTAAAACTCGGTGGCGTCACGAATCTTGTAGAGACTACATCGGCCTAGGCGTAGAGCTATTAATGCACCTATCAATGTTAACCCCCAGGGGGGGGGGGAGTCGGGCATATGTGGGGTATTTGATCATCAATTGCATCCCCACCCTGGGGATTTTGATTAGCCATTTTGGCCCCGAGTTGTGGCAATTTGAACCAAATGACTTTTATTAATTAATATAGTATTTATTGCAATTTATTGCAAAATGGTGGGGTATTTGACCAATATTTATTGCCCGACGGTGGGGCATTTGATTGAAAATTTGCTCAAAAAATCAAATGCCCACCTATGCCCGACTTCCCCCCCCCCCTCTCTGGAGCTTAACATTGATAGGTGCATAAGTAAACTGTAAATAGGGCCTAAATTAATTTAGTAGTTTCATTTAATTGTTTGTCTTGCTTTTATTTATCAGTATAGAATATTGTAAATTAAAGTATTACTACAATGCAATACGCGTAGTATTTCATCAGACATCTGCACTACATTATAAATACTGTACAAGGAAAACTACAGCTTATATAATAGTAGTCGTAGACGTTTCTTGTTTTGTCAGGCTCACGTCTCAGCTCACGTCGACACGACGTTTGAGTCTTGTAACTGGTCGAGCCACCGAGGCGAAAGTAAATCATGCAGTCGGGAAAATGTCTTACTTTGAAAGATTATTTTGCAAAACATACTCGTACACACAAGAATCATATCATAAAAATACAAATGTTGAATTGTTATTGTCAACTGTCAAGTTCAGTTATTTTTAGACAATATGGTGTTAGCCAATCAGAATGCAAAATTGACCGGCCCAGACCAGGGCTTTCTCGTCTCTCCCCTCGTCCTCATACGAAAGCCTTGGGAACGAGGTTGACACGAGTCTTAAGAGGCCTGCCAGAAGAACCCTTAGTAAGCCTTCGACTGGAACAGGTTGAGCTGCATCCTTCGCAATTCAGCTTAGTTCTCAGCTGCAAGTAAAGACACCCCATCCCACATTGTTCGCTAGCCCAACGATGCTCACGCACTGCAATGATTAGTGTAATGTAGTTGACATAATATAATGTTTAATTTTTTTGCAAAGAGGCACGATTTATCAGCACTTAAATTAATGTTTATGGAATATACTGTCTTACACTTGCACTCACAATGCACTGCCTCGAAATTTTGTCTTGCTTTCAAATAAAGTGCATTGTCTGCACTGGCTCAAAACCCGGTCGGATCTCTATTTTTATTTCTATGTGCTTGAATGGGATAAGAAATAAGATATTAACGATTTTGATTGGAAGAATAAACAATAATATAGTGCACAAAACTAATTTACAGCACGTGTGTTAGGTTTTGTTATGCTATGCCTTATTGCCGTCCACAAACATTCACCTTTTGGAAAATATCTCTCATTTTATCTTACAAATTAGTAGTTCATTTATGCTTGTATAGACGTTTAACTTCGGTTCTGCATGACCTTCTCACCATAGGTTTATGAGGCATCTAAAATTAATTTAATTATATTTGTTAGATTTTTAATAATTAATCCATATTCAGCTTTTTGAAGCCATTTAGAAAGATTTCGCACGATAAAAATGTTTGATCAGCGAGTACAAAATTTGGAGTAAGTAAATGTATTATTTGTAGGCTTGTCAATTTATATGATTGTGAGCAGTCGTTCGTGTTCAGCAGTGGCTTAGCCAGACCTTCATTTTTTTTTTGGGGGGGGGGGGCGAAGCGAACGTCGAAGGCGCGAGACCATCTAGGGGTGTCCGGGGGCATGCACCCCCGGGAAAATTTTGAAATCTAGAGTCCCTGAAATGCGATTTCAAGCATTTTGGGGGTGAAATCTTGCAGAACTCCGAAGATTATAAAGTACATCGAAGACAAAAAATAATTTTCCCAGACATTTCTAATTTTCTACTCGGAATTAAATAAATTGGAAAAGTCACCTTGAAAAACAGGAGGACCCGGTCAGCGTCACCTTATTTCCCCTGGG